TACATCTTACCCCATACTATTTATCAACTCAATAACTCCCCCATATCACTTACCTCGCCAATCCACCCCCACGCCTCATCGTTAAGGCAACTAAGAGTATCATCCCTTCAATCGTAATAACGGCAATCAAAGAAATTGCTCGTCGCCCGGCGGGCTCGAACGGCCGGAAAATTCATTAGCGAATGTCCTCCGGCCCGCAATTTCCCCCATTAAAATCGAGTGTCGTTAAAGCTGTCCCGTCCAACGTCCCGCGATAACTCCGCCGACGATCGCAGCGCCGAAGAAAAGTTGAAGAGCCCATGAACTCGATCGCTTCTTATCAAACGACCAGCGAAAAGCGTCCCGTGCAAAAAAAAGCAAGGGGAGGGTGGGGAAAAAAAGGAGAAGACCGACGTCGCGACGACAGACGTGCGTAATACGATTAAGGATCGAGTGGAACGCGAGCCCGGCGAATGAATGAGAGGAGAATCTCTCGTCCCGGTTCCGAACTGAAAATCCCGAGGAAACTTTTGTAATCCTCTCGGCTCGTACAATGCGACGTACGTGTTGCCAGTCAATGTGTGAAATTTTTTCTCCCCACTTCCCTCGAGCCCGTTTCCATGGATTCACCGGTTTACACGGATTAACGTTCGTTATCCTCCTCCCTCTTCCGGGGATTTTATTGTTTAGAATGGAATCGTTTTTATTCCCTGCTTTCCGGCTTGTTTGCGGGTCGATTGGCTTGATAATTGATTCGTGAGTTCTAATTGGATTTTGGCGATGTTCTGTGGATTGTTTTCATGGGATTACTGGGATTGTTTTGTTGTTAACGAATCGCTTTTTTGTGAATTGGGTAGCCTTCGTGTTTGATGCAGGAATGTTGGTAAGAGTGTGGTTATAGATTGTAGGATAAGTATAAATTACTTGGAAATGTGCTGTGAGAGGAATTAGGTGATTTAGTTGTAGGCAATTGTTGGAAGTAAGTTGTAACTGGTGAGATAGTTTGAATTATTTGTTAGAAAAATATGTTAATAGACTTATTTCAGACAGCTGTTGGAAATAGTATAAATTACTTATAATTATTTGATCGTTTAATTTATTCTTTAATTGTATAAATTGCTAATAAAAATTCTATACAAATTCCTTACAATTATTTGATCGTTTAATTGTATAAATTGATAATAAAAATTCTATATAAATACCTTACAATTATTTCATCGTTTAATTGTATAAATTGCTAATAAAAATTCTATATAAATACCTTCCAATTATTTGACTGTTTAATTCATTCTTTAATTGCATAAATCGCTAATAAAAATTCTATATAAATTCCTTACAATAATTTGACTGTTTAATTCATTCTTTCGTTGCATAAATCGCTAATAAAGATTCTATATAAATTCCTTACAATAATTTGACTGTTTAATTCATTCTTTCATTGCATAGATAGCTAATAAACATTCCATACAAATCCCTTACAATTATTTAAAAATAACTCACTTGTAACAGAAATAAGTTATTATATAAGAGATTGTTCGTTTTCGATTCAGAAGGCTACACAAATTTTTATGAATATTCTGATCGTATATAGTTTTCCGGGACGTTACGTCTTCCGTCTGTCTGTTGCTCCTCGCTTCGTTTTTCATCCCCATACGTCGACTCGTTCCTCGAATTTATTTCCGCGCCACGCTCCCTATGTTCTCTTACGCTCGTTTCGTGGGATCCGCAAACGAGGGCGGATTTTTCACTCTTAACGAGAAGAAGACGGATCCCTCGACAGAGTTATTGCGTCGCTGTGTGCTCTCTTGAAAAATATTCGCCTGCAACACTGTCCTCGCGGTTGAGAGGCGAGGACCGTGGCTACACCAATTTCTCTGTTTGCCTTCTCTAAATAATCCACTTCGTATGAATTGCCATTTTAAGTAACTTCGGATTTTATTTTCTATTTAAAGGGTTAATCGTGTCGCGTCGTAATTCAATGAACTTTTTAAATGGTTGCTGTGTGAAATATTTATGTATACAAGGAGCAACGATTTTGTTTATGTATATCTTTGTTTACCTTCGTGAAATATTGATCTTTGTGTGAAGTACCATTTTTCAGCTGAAGAGCTCTATTTTGTATTTTAAGAATCGATATAAAGATGAAAAGACATTTTATAAACTATCATTATACTGTACTATTTGTATAATATACTTGAATAAACAAAAAGTCAAACACTATTAAACTTTAAGTAAAACAAATGACATTTACAACAAATTGTTCTTACTATTTAGAATATATAATATTTGTTAAATATAAGTATTTTTATCCTCCAAATTAATAAACATCAAAATAAATTCTACATGGAGAATTTTCTCTTCATTCACGCAGCTATTATTCACAATTTTCCGTCAAACGTTAAAAGAAAATAGAATTTCCTCTACCCTTAATAACTGACCTGAAATTTTGACAAAAAATATGTACCAACCTCCGTTAATGTACACCACCATTCGCTGTCTGATTAGAAACATGGCTTTGAAGCCTGATAAAAACACACACTTTCAAAGTTAGGGGTTGTCATCCCCATGTTACGCAAGATAAATACTAAAACTGACGTTCCCGCCGGCCCGGATCCTTTGAGAAAAAAATTCGAATTAGAGGAAGTGTTACACGGAGGGTCTAATTTGATATGTATAACCCTTTCAGATTCCCAAGCTTCGCGTAAAGCCAACAATTTACCGGGGAAATTAGTTGCTGTAATAGCTAAAAGACTTTGCCTTTGGCTGTCGCAAGTTCGCCTGAATATTCCATGCGTATAAGTAAGTGCTGGGTCCAAGGGTCAAAGGGAATTTCTTTCGGGAAAAAATTGTTCGGATCCGTCGGGTAACAAGGTGGCAAGACCCGACCCGAGGGAATTCAATTTCGAGCAATTTCTCGGCCGAAATTCTCACCTCCCAAATTTTTAACGCTGCCGGAAATATAAAAGTCGAGTACCTTTCACGACACCTGCTGCTTGTAGCATGAGTGTCTCTTATGAAAAATTCAGGTTGCTTAGAACTTCAATGACGCGATCCTGCGAACGCCTATACCCCGGAGTATATTGAGTAATGAGCAGATTGCAGATCTTCGTGCAAATGTCCAGGATGTTGAACAACTTTTGTGGATATTTACCAAAAATGAAGTGATTGGGTGTGTATGCAAAAAATTAAGAGTACTTATCTAACGAGATCACAAATATTGTGTTATTATAAAGAAATATCAAAAACCAACATTTATTCAAATAAATTTACTTTGATTTATTTCTTGAAAAATATAGTAAGAAAATTATAATTGATATAGATAAACAGAAGCGTTGAAGTTTGAGTGGTTTTCTATTTAATTCGCTAATTGTTTTGCTCGCTCTTTCCTGTAGTTATTCTTCTGTTTGATTTTCTGGGAATTTTCTGATTCTAATGCTAAGGAAAACTTCCATTTTTTCCTTTTCAAACATTACTCTCTTTTATTTGTTTTTCGTAGTTTCTTCATTTACTTTTTTGATTTGTGAGTAATTTTGTAATGATCGAAGCAAGGGGAATTTTTATATCTCTTTAATTTAATATATTGTTGAAGGAGAATACAATTTCATTGTTGGTTTATTTTATATATAAAATAAAGCATTTAATTACTAATACTATTTTCAAACATATTCGCAGATATTTTTGTTATACTTAATATAATCAGATCATTCTTCGATTATACTCGTACCTTTGTTAACCTTCTTTTCTATAACTCGATAATTTTTATAATTTTGTTACAACTCACACCTAGCTAATTTATATAACATTCTTTAGTTTCCCGTTTCATTTCTGTTTTCTTCATTTACGTGCTGTACCTCATCTAAATTAAAGCAGAAAAGTGGGTGAAACGCAATCAGCGTTCGATCAGGTTCGTCCGGCGAATCTGAACCACTTGAATACCAAATTCGACGTTTCTTTCGCCGGAGGAAAGAAGATAGAAAGCGAGTCTTGGTCCAGACTGTTCATTGTTAGGTTTTTCTGAATTAGCAGCCTCTTGACTCTCAGCACGGAGAGTACGAGGGGAATCGGGAGTCGCATGACAATTGATTGGAAGCCCAGGTCCGGTCCTCTTTTTGTTTCCCTCGTTCCTTAAGGCAGAAACTCGCGAGACCTCGTTCGAGCGGAATCGAGAGCCAGCGAGGCATCGATTGTCTCCGGATCAGGTTCCTCGTTTTCCTTTTTTTCTCGACCGTTTGCCTGGGAAATAGCGAATGTGCTTCGAATCGGAGTAGCCTCGAAACGAAACCGACGCTTTGATTGCAACTAAAAGTAAGGATTGGTTGGTCAATTTCGTGAAGGGCAAAAGTACTTGTGACTTTTAAATATGTTTGTAGATTTAAGTAGTTATGTTTCGTTCTTGGAGAAAATATTTTGTGAATTTAATTGGAATTGGAATTAAAAATAGGAATTGGTTGGTCAATGTATTTGTAGATTTAAGTAGTTATGTTTTATTGCTGGGGAAATTATTTTGTGAATTTAATTGGAATTGAAATTAAAAATAACAATTGATTGATCAATTTTGTGAAAGGCAAATGTACTTTTGAATTTTAGGTGTGTTTGTAGATTTAAGTAGTTATGTTTAATTGTTAGAGAAAATATTTTGTGAATTTAATTGGAATTGGAATTAAAAACAGGAATTGGTTGGTCAATTTCGTGAAATGTGAACGGGCTTGTGATTTTTAGATATGTTTGTTAGGAAAAATAGTAGCAGTTATGTTAAATTGTGAGTGTAGATACTTTATGAATTTAATTCTAGTCATAATTAAACTTGATTGTTTTTCCTAGTAATAAAGAATTATTGAGAGAATATAAAAAGCTCTAAGTGATTTACAATGGTACTCTCAAAGTTTCATTAGAGCTGTCTACAAATTTTTAATGAAGCAATCTGTTTCTTTCCTGGAACTATGTTAATAAATTGTGTGAATGCAGCTTATTTATTCATCAGGCACACGATGTTTCTCGAAGCTTTCACCTATTACCCAAGTACTTTAGTTCGCGTGCTTTAATACTAACCAAACCCGCTAGTTTATTAGTAGATACTAAAATATTTAAACCAGCACAAGAGGATAATGTGTCCTCTGAAAGCGTTGCCTCAGTAATTCCAACGATTCTTCGCCTATGAAATCTATATTAAATATAAATCTAATGACACTCAACGTGTTAACGAACACATCACAAAACCATTACTAATCCTTCCCATCCTTTCTCGCATAGAAAGCAACTTTCGAACAATGTCTAACACAGTTTCTCTTCCCAGACAATTATTCGTTCATTTGTCAACGGTCGAACGTTCTGTTTCAGAGTCCTGGAGCACGAGGACGTACTGCTGCCAGCAAGATGGCTGCAACTCCGGCCCGTCGTTGACGTCCAGCAGCACCATGGTATTCCTCATGGTAGCGATGGTCGCCCTCCTCGTCGGGCGGACGCTTCGTGGCTAATATGTCGCTAGAAGCGACGAGCAGCCCGCGAACGGAAGCACCGGGATCCATCAAACGCGAGAACAAGGTCGGAGAACGTTGCACCGTACGTTAACGACGTTCACGACCGATCGCCCTGGCCGTCTTGCTGACTGGACGCTGACGAGTCGACGCTCGTCGCTCGTCGACCAGTGAAAATCACCGAAAATCGCGCTACAAACGCCTCGCTCGTTCGACTTCGCACCTCACCCTTCGATTTTAACGAACCGGCCGACGGTTTTTCGACGCTGATCGATCGGCGATCGAACCCCCTGACGGGGACACGCCGGTTTTCCCGTTTTAATTACTTTCGATGGGCTTCTTGGCGGATCTGAGCACTCTGGAATGGGAGGGCTAGCCTAGATTATTGGAGGATGTTGATTGATGGAGTTAGCCTTCATTTTTGCTACTTTTAATTCTTTGGGAAACGTTTGGGAAGTGTGAATTAATTTAAGATTGGGTATAGAAAATTAATTATTTTATTGTTGGCTCAATTTAGATTTACGTAAGTTATTGGAGGATGTTGATTGATGGAGTTACCCTTGATTTTTGCTACTTTTAATTCTTTGGGAAACGTTTCGGAAGTGTGAATTAATTTAAGATTGGGTATAGAAAATTAATTATTTTATTGTTGGCTCAATTTAGATTTATGTAGGTTATTGGATGTTGATTGCTGGAGTTAGCCGTGATTTTTAGTACTTTCAATTCTTTGGGAAATTTGGAGAAGTATGAATTAACTTAAAATGACAGATTTGAATTTTGTTACTTTATTATTAAAGAAATGCTGAAAGTTTTTTCAAAGAATTAAAACTAATATATCTCATTACCTTTTTTCATTGAAGATGCACTGAATGCTTATTTTTAATATTACCACTCTTAATACTTCAAAAATTCATTTAAATCCTCATCTCGCACTACAATCTCCTAATTAAAGAAATTTTACAATTACATTCAACAAAGACGAATATTATTCCATTGTAGTTACATTATTAAAAACTATAAGTATACTTTCCATTTCATAAATGTTCCATTTCTAAAACGAATTCAATTGTACACCCATTCAAAAATATATTTCTCACCAGACAATATTATTCTTCATATAAAAATAATCCAACCAGCAAAAGTATAACTTTTTGAAACATTCGTCGAACGCGTGTATTTGCCGTGAATCTCGGGATCGCGATAAACGCACGACCGATCGGAGGGCCGCGGCGCGGTTAATTTGAACGTTCCATAAATCTCCGCTTCCCTGTCACCGGCCTTTTAATTTATTCTTCATTTAATCCCCTTTTAATCACCCCCGCGATGGGATTTCCTTCGTGCCCAATGAAACAGTAAGAGATAACTACCGCGACGAAAATACGAAACTAATAACTTTCAACCCCGTCCCCGAATTTAACGCTAAACCTACCGAGCAATTAAATTGTCTTTTTGAAATTCCTCTGTAGCAACTTCAAGGATCGAGACTTTAACCAGTTAACTGTGGAATTTAGTTGGAGAAACCTCCGGTTCTGCGCGCAATAAAATCGAAAAATGGAGCGTAGAGTATACTTTAACACGTCGAATGCCATGGGGGTCACCGGTGACCCCCAACCAAATCGAATTACTATAGTTCATTCAATTAAACGATGATTATTTCAAAACATTTCTATATTATAAATAATGCTACCTAACGCGGTGCCATTCGGCTATATCAATGTCCAATAATAATTATGCAATTCAAACAAATGATTTAATACTATATTTCTTTCATTTTGTTTATTTTGCTCTATGAAATCGTGCGGCATTCAACGTGTTAAACTATGATTATTTGAAAAGATGATATTGTGAATAATGATACCTATTGCGGCGATGTTCAGCTAGACGAACATGCAATAATAATAATGCAATTCCATCGAATGATTAAATATTACATTTCTTCCATTTTGTGTGTTTTTCTCTATAAAATCGTGCGACATTCAACGTATTAATGAAAGATCAAAGCGAAAGAAAGTCAAGCTTGACGATGACGTGTATACTCGTCAAACACAGTTAACTGGTAAATCGATTTACAATTCAGTTTGCTAAATCAGTTTCTCGAATAATTCCTCAGAGAAATATGCGTTATCTTTTTAACCGTTTGAGTGCTGAGGAGCGCTATAGCGTTCTTCTTGTGTTGTGCCAAAATTGCGTAAAAAGTAAATTTATTTGAATAAATGTTATTTTTTGATACTTTTTGTAATAACACAATATTTGTGATCTCATAACTACTCTGATTAATTCTTTTGCATACACACCCAATCACATCGGTATTTTTGGTAAATATCCACAAAAGATGTTTAGCGTCCAAACGGTTAATAATTGCGAAAAGAAGAAATCAGGAATGAGTCGTTTTGACTCATCCGGTAGGTTTACTGTTAATCACGCTACTTTACACACTTCAGTGCCGAGCGAAAATGTACAGCGTGTCGTGTAACCAGCAGTCCAACCGAGAACACTGTGATCCGGTATTATATAAACCACTCGGAAACATAGAATAACATTCCTTTAACTGAGATCTCGTTTCCCAGAGTAAAATCTACTTTGGAAACGTCCCATCTGAAAATATTCAAAGTGAACTTATCGGTGAACTTTCAAGCCGGATTTACGTAAGAATTTTTAAACTTGGAATTTTTCGAGCTACATTTTCTTAGAAATTCTTCGGTTGGATTGTCGCAGAGCTTCGAAGAAAAACAATTTTATTCTACTCCTCTCGTTCACTTTTAAGATAATGCTTCTATATAGTAGCATTATTTCTTCATATAAAATCACTCTGTTTCCAGTTACTTTATACGTATCATTCTTATATAATATCATTATTTCTTTTATATAAAATCATCCTTTTTCTCGTTACTTATTTTATAAATATCACTTTCAGTACCATTATTTTATTTATGTAGTATCGTCTTCGTTCTACTTGAATTCTTAGCTAAAATGAATTCCCATTAATTATCAGTGCGATATATGGAATATCGTTGACTATCGCAATGATCAGTAAAGCTTCCAAATTCAAAACGATAGCAAAAAGAAAATTGACGTGAAAAATATTTAGCGTAACAAATAACTGAATGATATTGTAATACGATTACTACGGTACCAAATCATTGACAATTATTTCTAACACCATTTGCCTCCGTTACGAGGGAATAAGTATCACAAAAAACTCTGTTACAGAGGAATAAGTATTATTATGAGAAAAATTCTGAAATTCTCGCAGCAACGAACGCGTTGAAATTCATAGCAGAATCGCACGCTACTGATTCACGTTACAATATCATAGAGGATAACGTTCGCCGACAATCCATTTTTGCCAAGGACTTTCTCAGGCTTTTTCGTCCTGCAAAAAATAAACGATCGCCTTTCCAGCGGCGGGATCGCTGGACCGTCACCAGAATCTTCCAGCCGTCACGGTTTTTAATATCGCCGGTTATCGGGGGAATAATTTTTCACGGTACCGCTGCTCCATCGCCGGGAACGGCCATATTGGAAACGATCGAGCTCTACTCACCGGCGAATTTTCACCGGTCAGCTTTCCGCCCGACGCTGACACTCGATTCTAGAATTCAATTTACTCGAGAACTTTCCCGATTCTATTCCCTTCGTCCTTCTCAGTCCTTTTTTTCTTTTAAAAATATTTCTGTTTCATTGGCGATGACGTAATGATCGGCCCGTGGAGGTTTATGAAGTATACGTGTCCTTGAACCTTTGATGATAGGCTGCAGTGTTAGTTGAACTTTGAATACTTATCAGATACGAATTTGTTCTATAATTTCATAGAAAAGTGTCTTCGTAATTCTAATAATTATTGTACGTAAATTTTCGAATGAGTCACTTGGACTTGTCTGCAATGAGAAGAGTTACAGTGATGAAATAGTAATACAAATAGAAATGATAACACTTTTAGTAATAAATTGTTAATGCTGGTAGTATCAAAGTAATAATACTTCTAGTATTAAAATGATAATGCTATTGGTAGTATAATAATGACACTTCTAGTATTAAATTATTAATGCTACTAGTATTAAAATAATAATATTTCTAGTATTAAAATGATAATGCTATTGGTATTATAATAACACTTCTAGTATTAAATTATTAATGCTAACAGTATAAAAGTAATAATACTTCTAGTATTAAATTATTAATGCTACTAGTATTAAAATAATAATATTTCTAGTATTAAAATGATAATGCTATTGCCATTATAATAATGACACTTCTAGTATCCAATTATTAATGCTACTAGTATTAAAATAATAATACTAGAGTAAAACCAGTAATACTTCTAGTATTAAAATAATAATACTAGAGTAAAACTACTAATACTTCTAGTATGAAAATAATAATACTAGAGTAAAACTAGTAATACTTCTAGTATGAAAATAATAATACTAGAGTAAAACTAGTAATACTTCTAGTATTAAAATAATAATACTTCCAGTATTAAAATGACAACACTTCTAGTATTAATCTATTAATGCTTCTAATATTAAAATAATAATACTACTAGTATAAAATTAATACTTTCAGCATTGATATCGTAACACTGGTAGTATCAAATTATTAATGCTACCAGTATTAAAATGATAATACCACTAGTCTAAAATTCATAACACTTCCAGCATGAAAATGATTAAGCTTCATTCTTGTTACGCTCAGACGTCTTCCGTTCCCCGTTATTTTTCGTTAAAACTTTCATCCCACGTGCAGTATAACTTCATTTCGAACGGCCGCGAAAATACGCGCGCTTTATTTTCACTTTATGAAGCTCCTCCGCGAGAATCCTCGCCTTCCCTCTTCATTCGTCTCGACGGAACTTTCATTTGCGTTTCTTGGCACTGAAGTTTTTATTAAAGGGCGCTCCTCGAATTCTTAATGCGATGTCTTCTTTTTTTTGTTTCAACCCCCGATCCTCTTCTTCCCAGCATAATCCTTTTCATCCATCTGCTTTGCGTTCGTACAAGATTTCTTTTCCTCGTTTTTCATCTTAACAGATTCCCCTTTCTTTCTTTCCTCCTTCGTTATCCCCCC